GCAGCAATTATAACTATGTAACCATTGACATTTAAGTTGAATGTTACTTCTTCTTCTTCTTTTTCTTCAGCGTTTGTCTCGCGCTCGGGCGAGGTCCGCTAATGTCCTTGAGTACTGCTTCCACACCTCTCTGTCTGCCACGTGTGTCGGGTCTGCCTTCGCGATCTCTAGATCGGCCTTGATCGTGTCCATCCAGCGTTGTTTAGGTCTACCACGCGGTCTCGCTCCTCCGACAGTCACCTTCATTACAGATTTGATGATGGATTCTTCCTTGGCGCGGCTCACGTGGCCGAACCATCGTAGCCGGGACTGCCTCATGACCGTGGGGATGGGCACGACGTTGAACCGTCTACGCACTTCTTCGTTCCTGACGCGATCGAGTAGGGTGAGGCCTACCGACCATCGGAGCATTCGCATCTCCATTATCTGGAGTCTGCTTTCGACTTCTTTGGTCGTCGGCCAGCACTCTGCGCCGTATATGGCCACGGGGCGCACCACAGAGTTATAGATTTTCGCCTTCAGGCGCATCGGCATCTTCTTGTCACAGAGGACGCCCGTGACGGACTTCCATTTGCCCCACGCTGCATTGATCCTGGCTGTTTTCTTCTTGAAAACAGTATTTGCTCTTGAAAACAATTGTTGCATCTGTTTTATTCTCCTGCCCAGTGAGTAAATCTATGCTGCTAAGTCAAGCTTATTAATTATGATTTGCTGAATAAGCCATGGTTGTCCACTTTAAAAAGAGCATTATACCACAAAGAGGAGCATGTTAGCAAAAAGGGGGAGCAGATTATAAACTGGGATGCTAAACTTTGAGGACCAAAACTGAGACAATCTATGTCAAGTCTTTATGGTGAGGCTATTCATTAGCCTCTAATATGTAAGATCTGACTTTCCCTAAATATATTACGTCTGTTTGTAATATTTCCTCAATAACATGATGTAGTTGCTTGTTCTTCCCTTGTCCCCCATCAGGCTGGCAAATTGAAAAGATTTAACCACCTTCAAATCAAACGAAGTTCAGCCTGTGAGAAGAGTTGTACAATGATATCCCAGAATGTGGTGGCTTTATTAAGGAGTTTTGTTTCCTGATGGGGCTTTATGGTTATTAATTACCAAAATAGCCACTGCTTTGCCACATGGTTGGGAGGAAAAGACCATATTGACAGCAGATTTGGAGAAAATCTATTACGTATCAACAACAGTGACCAGGTTTTTATGAATATGACACATTTCCCTTTTCCTTCTGAATGAATGAAAATTGCTATTGCTTAAACTTAAATGGGAAGGTTAAGTGCCCCCTCCATTTACTGAAATCTAGGATAAACTGGCTTAATGGACCTCTATATCATTTCTTATTTTCTCTGGTAATTTTTAAGGAAAAGTTATGTTTCTGACCTGATTGTGGAATACAAAGTAGTTGGTTGACTTTTTCTGCCAAGTGTCTCTGAAACCTAAATGGGGAATTTCCCACTTACAGTGTCAGGTAGATCAAACTGACTTCATTTCAGGAACTGAATGCTGCCTCTGTCTCTTCTAATATATTTCTTAATAAAGATATTTCTAATTTCCGGAAGTTTGGGTACAAAACATGTAATGTGGTAATCACTGTGTTTACACTCTTCTCCTAGAGTAGCTAGTGATGTAACAGGGAAATTGTCACTCACCAAATAACTTCGTCCCTCCCTTCTTATTAAGCTAAACAGACCTCCCATTTGGTTTCAGTCTGAGCCAGAATTAGGCTCTGTAAGATGGTTTCCTTCCAGCCTCACCTTTGGATTGTGTTCCTGACTGGGGTTATTCTTGGGGCCTCTGCTGTGGAAACATTCCTTGCTGCCGTCTATGAGCATGCTGTTATACTTACAGGACCCACCCCAAAACTTGTCTCTCCAGAAGAAGCCCTGAATTTAATGAACAGAAATCTAGACATCTTAGAGGAAGCCATCAAAACAGCAGCTGAAAAGGTACAACAGATGCAGGGCTAGTAAGTTCCATCTTCTTTGTTCTTGGAAGCATGGCATCTCTTAACTGAACTGGCGTTCTTCTTTTTGTAGGGAGCTCGCATCATTGTGGTCTCTGAAGATGGCATTTATGGGTGGGTCTTTACTCGGAAAACACTTTATCCTTATCTTGAGGATATACCAGATCCTGAAGTAAACTGGATTCCGTGCAATGATCCAGAAAGGTAATCTCATCCAATCTAAGTAGAACCTTCTTGAAAGTGAAGAGTCACTTTGACTAGTGTGATAGGTAGCAATATAAATTTAATAAATAAACTCGGTACACAATGTACTATAATGAGTGCCAGTTACTTATAAGCACACTTCTCCATTCTTATAGTGAACTAACAGTGGGTTTTTCGGATGCTCTTGTACGTAGACAACAGTGATTCCAATTTGTATTTGTATTGTAGAGGCAGAATTATAGCTGGTTGGATAGTTAAGAATAGCCACACAACTTTATTTACCTCATATATAAAATATTTTATTATGCTTTTCTTTAATTTTGTTTGAGTAAGATTGCATGTGCAATTAGGAAATGCTGTTAAAATGTGAGTTTTGCAAGTGATTCCCGGTGAAATTTCTCATTTAAAAAAAAACCATTTCTGTATTTAAATTTATTAAAGCTGGGTTCCTTGGGAAGCATATTGCCGTCATTAAACAAGTCTCAGAGAGAAAACTTTCATACAGATTTTACGGATTTCTTTTATTATTTTATGTTGAAAATTATGGAGTTCTAAAATATTGTTCCAGACTGAATTGATAAGCAGTTGTAAACTTGTTTGCCCAGATTTCAGTCACTAGATGGCAGTACGGCAATAGCTTTTCCCATGTATTATAGTCATATTTTAAATTCCTTAGTTTACTGCCCCTTTTGTATATCTGAGAGCATAATTCTCTGTAAAAATCAAGTTAATTTCCTTTGGGGAGAGCGCTTCCCTGTCTGAATATTATGGCCCAAGCAGATGCAGTGCTAAAAGGTTTTTCTGAACAAGCAGCATTCCTCTCTTTGTGGAATTCACCTTCAGCCTGTTTTATCCCGCCCAGACTGTAGACACCAGATCAAGAGTCCACTGAACTTCTAGACTGATTCTGGGTTGACATATGTGAATATTATCAGCAGAGATGTCAGTCCCACTAGGCAAATTGGACCATAAAATCAACTCCACAGGAAAGCTTAGGATACTTGAATTGAGACTGGCTATAACAATAGAATTTTGAAAATCTGGTCGATCTATACCACCTCTCTTGTTCTGACCAAAGCTTCCCGAGACTGTAATAAAGCACACACTTAGTTAAAACAATGCTTGTTTTATTTCAGCGCTGGGAATTATGTTCATTCCCAGCCTGTAATGAGTCCCAAACAGTCCCCCAAAATAAGCACCCACCTTTCTCTCCTTTGAATTGCTGCCAACAACTGAAGTGCCAAATGAATTATAAAAAAACCAACCGAAGTACGAAGTCCACACAGAGCTTCAAGGATTAATCTGAACAGCGCAAATGACTTTGCTTCCTGCAAAGGTTTCTCTACCTTTGCATGTCCTTTATACCTTATGGGAGGGGCAATCACCTCCATGCCTTACTCCCAAGTTGCCCCTTTTGTCTCAGCTACTCTTACCTTCTAGCAGCTCTGTGCACACGTGCACTGGGAACAGGCTCCCCTTGTTCCTCGGCCTCGCTGGTGCCAGACTCCGGAGGCTGCGGAGTCAGCACACCACTCCCAGATAGCCCTGGCCCGATCTCTGCATCGGACGCTCTCCAGACTCCCAGACTGGTCCCCATTCTTCCCTACTGTCCGATTCACTGCTGTCTGAACAGGCTGCTGGCGAATCACAGCATCCCTCTTCTTACACTCCAGTAAAATGGGGGTATCTGTACAATTTCCAAATATCACCTGGACCTTCTGATGAAAAAAAATTCATCCCCTTTTGCCTAAGCAGCAGCTTCTGTATGTATCTTAAATTCATCAAGGTTATCTTCATTATTTTCTATACCACTGATTCAATCCAAAGCACTGGGTAGCCTCTTCCAACAATTTTATGCAAAAGTTAAAAAGTACAGGTGATAGGGACCCTCCTTACAGTGCTGTGTTCACTGAGAGGACTTTTGTTCCCTGCCACCCACCACCTGATGTTAAATATTTAGAACAGAATTATTATAGAAAAATACTCTTTACTGCTAACTCTTGCAGACAGTTCAAAAGGATCCCATGTTCAATGGAATCAAACCAGGAGTTTGGTTTGGAAAGGGCAGATTTCCCCAGTCTAGGTCTTGAAAAATGTCATCCACCAGAGACGTCATCCACCAAAACAATTGAGTCCTTCTCCATCTGATGCCCTGGTCTGAATTGTGACATGGAGAGTGCAAAAGTTGGCTTGAAACTCAACATTAAGAAAACTAAGATCATGGCAACCAGCCCTCTCAATTCCTGGCAAATAGATGGGGAAGAAATGGAGGTAGTGACAGATTTTGTTTTCCTGGGCTTCAAGATCACCACAGATGGGGACTGCAGCCAAGAAATTAAAATACGCTTGTTCCTGGGGAGGAAAGCTATGGCAAATCTAGACATACTAAAAAGCAGAGACATCACCCTGCCAACAAAAGTGCGTATAGTAAAGGCTATGGTTTTCCCAGTTGCAAAGTATGGCTGTGAAAGTTGGACCATAAGAAAGGCTGAGAGCCAAAGAATTGAGGCCTTTGAACTGTGGTGCTGGAGAAGACTCCTGCGAGTCCCTTGGACTGCAAAGCAATTAAACTGGTCAGTCCTAGAGGAGATCAACCCTGACTGCTCTTTAGAAGGCCAGATCTTGAAGTTGAATCTCAAATACTTTGGCCACCTAATGAGAAGGTAGGACTCACTGGAGGAGAGCCTAATGCTGGGAATGATTGAGAGCAATAGAAGAAGGGGACGACAGAGAATGAGGTGGCTGGATGGAGTCGTTGAAGCAGTAGGCGTGAGCTTAAATGGACTCCAGAAGATATCAGAGGACAGGAAGGCCTGGAGGAACATTGTCCATGGGATCGCGATGGGTCAGACACGACTTTGCAACTAACAACAACAAAGGAATCCAGACAATTTATTCCCTTTAGTGAACCCTGTAATTCAAGTTCTACCACCTTCCCAGCAGCCTTTCCTAGAAAAAAGTAGGGTGGAGGTAGGATTTTAATTGTCCAGTATAGCTGAATCCAGGGACGTTCGCTTCACCAGGGGCCAATCCACTGCCAACTTCAAGGTGATGAACAATATGACCCCCACTCCAGGTGTGGGATTCAATTTTTTTACCAACCGGTTCTGTGGGCATGGTTCAGTTGGTGGACGTGGTTTGGTGCTCATGTTATTGGCTGGGCGTGGCCAACTCAATATCATTCACATCGAGGCACGCATCTCCTCGCTTGGCCTCTCGTGACTGTGGGGATGCTGCAACAGTCGTAAGTGTGAAAAAGGGTCATAAGTCACTTTTTTCAGTGCCATTGTAACTTTGAATGGTCACTCGACACAAGCAAAGTACCAGCAAAGGAGGAAAAAAAACCTCCAGAGACGTTCCAGAGACAGAAAGTCCAGTCCTGCCAAGAATGTAATAAGGGTAAAGGGAGAGGCAGTTTCTGTAAGCAATACCAGAATGTTTCCTTCCTGCCTTCCTTACAGGATTAGACCAGTAATTTCTTCTAACAACCGGTTCTCCGAAATGCTTAGAATGTTAACAACCGGTTCTAGCGGACAGGTGCAAACCTGTAGAATCCCACCCCTGCCCCTCTCCTAATGAAGTAACAATACCTCCTAGATCTAGCTACTTCCCCCTCCCCACTCCTGAAGAAGCTAAAGGAGTGTGTATGCAATCCAGAGTTCATATCAGAGAACACCCTACCTGCCTCATCAGAGTTCACAGGGCAAAACAAGTCCCTACCCAGGCACAGTCAAGAATTCAGTGAATTTGAGTCACTTTATTAATAAAAGGTCACAGTGATACAACAGCAGACACTCCCTGTTTTACATGGTC